TGCTGTGTTTACCTTGTTGCTCAAACAGACAAATAGTGAATTCTTTGCAAGGCCCATAAGTATAAATCCAGTTGATAAACCAGTAAAAGAAAGGAAGAGATGTTTTGTTCACACACACCTATAGAACAGCAAAAGAAATGTAATTCATTATCATGATGATTTGGAACTTTAAAGAAATGTTTGACCAGGGCAATTAGTAGGAGCTTTCCAACCTCTTAATATCACTTCTCTTGAGGAAAGAGATGAGTGTAGCGCTTAGATGGGTCTTGGGTAAAGGTAGGAAATGCATCCTCTCCTTCAAGGAAATTACACTAAGAGGACTAGCAGGGACATGATAGTAGTATTCCAGTATTTGAGGGGATGCCACAAAAAAGAAGGGGACAACTTATTTTCCAAAGCATCAGAAGGCAAGATAAGAAACAATGGATGGAAACTAATCAAGGAGAGAAGCAAAATAGAATTAAGGAGAAACTTTTTAACAGTGAAGGCAATTAACCAGTGGAACAGCTTGCCTTCAGAAGGTCGAAGTGCTTCATCACTGAAGGTTTTTAAGAAAAGACTGGTCAGTCACTGTTCTGAAATAGTATAGGGTCTCCTGCTTGAGCAGGGGGTTAGACTAGAAGACCTCCAGAGTCCCTTCCAGCTCTATTCTGATTATAAATTTCTCGGTATGTGCCACAGCGGAACACTGAACATATAGTCCACAAGGCAAACACCCTGACCTAAATGACTGCTAGAGCTGCTTACATTTAAATCTGGTTAATGAGTGAAGTAAACAGAGCTTAATTCAAACTTCGGCTTATTAGCAAATGCTACCAGAAGACATTTTGCTCCCTGAGGTGATGAACAGCGTGGCAAATGCTTCCTATTCCAGGTGGAGCTGAATCTTCCTTACACATTGTGATATTATTCACCACAAGGCTACTTTCAGAAACCCAGAACAGCTTCTGTGATTCATGCAGCTTGCCATAGAAGGTTCAGGAGCAATTATTAATGTCCTGTAGCATCTACTGTCTGAAACCATACTTTACTCTCTTTCCTGATACAGCGGCTTTCTTCTTGGATATTTTCCCAAAATATGTATGTGTTTGCTGCTTATATTACATTTAGCCTTGGCAGTTTCATCACAGAAATACTCTTCTTCCACATGTGACAGAAATTTCTCTCTCATACTGAAGAAGAGTATTTTTCTCAAGATTTGCTTAGACAAAAAACAAAGGGTTGTGCTAAGTGCATGGCCTGCAAAACCAGAGAAAGACCAGATTACCAGCAAATAAAGTTTGAAATAAATGTTTCGATGCAGCAAAGGAAATGTAATTAAAAGCCTCTTGCAAATTTGACAGAGGTAAATAGAGTATATTCTTCAAATATGTACAGGTTCAAAGGTTTGGTCCTCTGTGGAAGAAAAATGGTGAAGGACAAATAGATCATTCTTGGTTGTCATTTATGAATACTTTTATTAGTACCGGTTTTGTATTTGTGCTTGGTATTTGCCTTTGTACTTGCCTTTTAAATTGTAACTAAATTATTTGATGGACTGTTCAGATTTTTTCAGATTTTCAGAATAAACTTCCAGATCAGACTGGACATTAAAGATCTGAACATTTTGACTGGTCCTTAATGTAAACCTATACTATACAAATGTGTGTGTTTACGTTTGTGTGTTTTATTAATTCATTATATTTATTTTATGCTTTCAACATTGTTGACTGCTTTGATGAGGTTTCTCTTTGGGATGTTTTATATATAAATGAACCTTGTACTCCATGCTGAAAGCAAAGTGCCAGTAAAGAACTAAGTCTGGAAGAGGCGTGAATCCCAAATACCTTTTCTTTAATTCCTCAAATGACTGAAACCTAAGAGTTAAATCATTATCTATAAATATTTTTTAGTTAAGAAATGCAAACATTGCTATTTGAAATACATAAAAGACATTTGAAGCAAGTCGCTAGAACAAATAAAATAACTTAGCAAAGACTGCTAAGCAAATTTCTGAGTCATACTTGCATTCAAGACAACACAGTGCTTGGAAAACTGTACATTAGCATTATTAAGACTTTTTAACTGAATGGAAAAGTTTTAATACAGTAACCAGCACCCTCTAGTGGAATAAATTTCCTCCTAACCTGCTCCTAACAGTTTGGGCCATAATATGTAATATGTTTATTTACATATTTATTTTTATTTATGTTTATCAACTTTAATTTGCTTATTTATTTTATTTTATTTTATTTTATTTTATTTTATTTTATTTTATTTTATTTTATTTTATTTTATTTTATTTATTTATTTATTTATTTATTTATTTATTTATTATACTGTATTTCATCTATTGTAAATCCAGTCTGCTGTCTGCAACAATATTCAAAGTCTCTGTAGGTTCAGAAGCTAAATGCAAGTGTGTTGCTGCTGAACAGGAAAGAGGAATTTAAAACATGCATTTTCTGCTAGGTTTTCTAGTTCAGGGGTCCTCAATCCCTGGTCCGTGGACCAGCACCAGTCTGCAGCATGCCATTCAGGGATTTCAATGTCCAAAAGGAAAAAACTTTTTTTGACCCAAATAAAAAAACAGACGCCAGACTGAGGTTTGGGATTAAATTTGATGCTTAAACATGGTGCTTTTTCTAGTTTTAAAAGATCGAGAGTTTTTTGGTGTCTGGGGAAGGAAATTTCTGATGCCGGGGTCAGGGATTTCTGTGCTCAGGAGATGAATTTTTTTTTTAGACCCAAATGTAAAAACAGACAACAGACTGAGATTCAGGGTTTAATTTCATGCTGAAAAATTGTGCTTTTTCTAGTTTTTAAAAATCAAGAGTTTTTTGGTGTCCGAGGAAGGAAATTTCTGAAGCCGGGGTCAGGGATTTCGATGTCCAGGAGGCAAAACTTTTTTTGATCTAAATGTAAAAATGGACACCAGATTGACATTGGGGGTTAAATTTCATCCTTAAAAATGGTGCTTTTTCTAGTTTTTAAAAATCGAGGATTTTTTGTTGTCTGGGGTTGGAAATTTCTGATGTCAGGGATTTCTGTGCTCAGGAGATGAAATATTTTTTAGACCCAAATGTAAGAACGAATGCCAGAGTGAGATTCGGGGTCAAATTTCATGCTGAAAAATGGTGCTTTTTCTAGTTTTTAAAAATCGAGCTTTTTTTTTTATCTCTGGAGAAGGAAATTTCTGATGCCAGGGTCCCGGATTTCTGTGCTCAGGAGATGAAATTTTTTTTAGACCGAAATGTAAAAACAGACGCCAGAGTGAGATTCGGGGTTAAATTTCATGCTGAAAAATGGTGCTTTTTCTAGTTTTTAAAAATCGATGGTTTTTTGGTGTCCAGGGAAGGAAATTTCTGATGCCGGGTCAGAGATTTTGATGTCCAGGAGGCAAAAAAATTTTTTGACCCAAATGTAAAAACTGACGGCGGATTGAGATTCGGGGTTAAATTTCATGCTTAAAAATGGTGCTTTTTCTAGTTTTTTAAAATCGACGGTTTCTTGGTGTCCGAGGAAGGAAATTTCTGATGCCGGGGTCCAGGATTAAGATGTCCAGGAGGCAAAAAAAAATTTTGAAACCAAATGTAAGAACGGACGCCAGAGTGAGATTCGGGGTCAAATTTCATGCTGAAAAATGGTGCTTTTTCTAGTTTTATAAAATCGAGCTTTTTTTGATCTCTGGGGAAGGAAATTTCTGATGCCGGGGGTCAGGGATTTCGATTTCAGGGAGGAAAAAAAAAATTTTTGAACCAAAGGTAAGAACAGACGCCAGAGTGAGATTCGGGGTCAAATTTCATGCTGAAAAATGGTGCTTTTAATTTTAAAAATCGACGTTTTTTGGTGTCCGGGGAAGGAAATTTCTGATGCCGGGCTCCTTTTAAGCAAAGGCATATGCTACATGAATGAACACTACTTTTATAGACATATTAACATTTCTATTTACTCTTGAATTCCTTCCTTTTATATCTGATTTTTTATCATAAAACAAATTCCCCCCAACCTCACCATTTGTCCAGTCATTAAAAATCCCACCAGTGATAATAGCATCACTGTTTTAACCTTAACCTGATACATTTAAAGTACAGCAAATAAACGCTATAAGTGTTTATGTATAAAAAAAAACCTTAAACAACATCTACTCCTGGTTAGAAAAAAAACATTAAAAATTTCCAGAAGTAACAACCTATCTATTTTAAATAACTTTATATTTGTTCCCCTTTGTCGCAACCATTTTAATCTTTAGTCCTTTCAAAGTGTCCAAATACTTGGTTTACTTGTCATAAAACCATTGGCAACATTAACAAATCCCATTAGTGATTCCAAAATGGAGAGGTTACCCAATACTCTCCTGGTCTGTTATTTGTATGCTCTTTTTAGTTATCAAAACATCAGTTGATTTCATTTGTATATTCAGTATTACATCTTTTGCTATCTCCTTCAGATAGGTTGTCATTATTAAATCCACATTTGAATCAATGTCAGTCTTGTCCAGTAAAACTTGTTCTATAGCATCACTTAAAGTCTATAAATAATGGCAGAGAGTTTAAGTATTCTTCTTTTTAATTATAATCCTACAGGAAACTATTTATTATTGTTTATTTAATTTCAGTATATTTTTAATCATTCTGGACCTTCAGTCCATTTATAACTTTCTAAAATTAACACTGATTGTTCTTTTGCTGTTAATTCCAAATAAAATAAAATAAACTATGTATATAGAGTTATAATCCAAAAAAGGTTTCCAACTTGAGCTATATTCAATTACTTTTGAAATATGGTTTTATTTTATACATCACGGCATACTCCCAGACTTTGCCCATTCTTTTGCAGTTACATTTTCCGTTGAAAATACAAAACATCATTTTAAAAAGTCTATTAAATTATCTGAAAACATTTATATTAACATTAACACTGATACTGAATGCTGCCACTGCTCTTGTATATCATCTGGGATCATTGAAATTGATGCAGTTTATTAAATAAATGAACAAACAAGATAACATCTCATATGAAGATTCAACAGGATAATTTTTACCTGTTTAAAAACAATTCACTTCAGAAAATATATAGGTACAATATATATAAAAACATCACATCAAACATATAGAAGAAATAGTCCCTGGAACGCTATATATTGATGTATTTTTCTTTGTCAATCAACAATTGAAGCATCTTAATCCTCCTCCTATATATAATTTTATTTCTATTTCATATAGAATTGTATCCCAAAAATGGGATACAGTATGAAAGAAGTTCTATTTCATATACCACCAAAGTGGAAACAGTTTATTTTATATGCGAGAGTATAAAAAGGAGAGAAATATCAAATATTTTTTTCAAATTACTTGAACTGTGCCCATGAATATTGTTAATTGCTCAATCTCTTCTTAATATGGTTTAAACAGAAAAACAAACCTTTTAAGACTGATATACTAAAAATTAAAATTGGAAATATAACAAGAAAACTGCAACTTCAAAATCAGAGCTTGGAGATATTTTGTAGAGCAAATAACCTAAATATGAACTGAAACAAAAACCATTAGAAAGCCTTGAGTAAACCATTGTATGAGTTAATCCCATAGAATTAACTCATATTATGGGAAGTAGCCATGAAATTTCTAAGATGTAAACCAGGGGCAATCACTTTCAAAGAGATATTTCAGTACTTTATCAAAATTGCCTAAATAATCTTGGGATAATTATTGGACAACAGCAAGTCAATTTGCAATATAAAACCAAAGGAACAGTATATAAAACAAATAGGTTCACAGCCAGAAATTCTGTGTAAATACCAAAGATTTGATCCACAATTGCAGGCCAAGACAGGTCTCAAGGGAAAAGACAAGTGATGTAGGAAAAAAATCTAACTTCAATCCTGTCTCAATCATGAGAATATTTTCTATCTCATTAAAATCATACTTATATTTGTATGGCTGTTAGACTGTTTCTAGATTAAGCTGTTCATGCTGAGCTCTCTTGGAAACTATGAAGCAAAATATTTGTGAATTTAGTCTCCAAGCTATCACTAATTCATCTTATATAAATACATGTTTGTCTAACACTACAGAGGAATACAGTTTTCAGTTACAATTTCAATCGGTGAAATTTGTAATAAATGTACCTTTGACACATGCAGCTTTATTTTAGTAAACTATTTACAAACATTTAAAAAAAATCATTTTCACCACAATGCAGTTAAAAACTCTCCCTCCCCCCAAAATGGCGTTTTTATTAAGAAGAAAAAAAATCTATCACAATAGTAGCTCAGTAAACAGTTATTACATTTACATTTCACATATCATCATTGTTCATATGTAGTAGGTTTCATAATATTTGCTTATTGCTCCAAATATTAAAGTTTAAATGCCAACAAATTTATAACATGTATGTTAAGGTTGTTAGTGTCACAAGAATTTTGTTTTAAGCAGGAAGAGAATATGACAAACTTCCAAAATCTGTATGAGCAAAAATACTGTATTACCACAACATGTTTAAAAAGTGTTGCAATTAAAAGGTTTCCACTAGAAACATTTGCATTAATAGACTTGACATTTATATCAAACATCAACCAGATCAGAACTTGGACATTGATAAATTAATGAGTCTTTATCCAATTCTTCACTGCTTTTTCTTCTTTGGCTGCTCGTCAGGGTTTAATTTGCGTTTCTTAAATGAGCTGGGTTCATCTTTTTCACCATCTTGAAAGAAGAGACATTGTATGTAAGCCAAAGTTTGCAAAAGCCACATTTGGAAAATATTATCAATAGTATCGGCTTTTGATGACTACATTAGCCTAGCATCCATGCAGCCTCATTGACATCAATATAAAGGCAGCTCAAAGTTGTCATTTCCTGGATTCTCTCCCCCACCCCGGGCCAATGACCAAATCTAGAACACAGATCTGGGAATTTTGTAATAATAAATCATCCAAATATTAATCAGGCCCAATCTTTCTTAGCCTTTTCATCATCAAATTGCTTTTATTATTAAGAAGTTACAGGAATGGAGATTAGGAAACTTCCTTAGCCATAACAGCAGTCCAATTATGAATTCAATGATTAAGGGTTTTCCATCAATGGTGATGTTTGAAAAGAGGCTAAACAGATCACTCTTGTGGATATTCCAATTAAGCCTCCTGTAACCTGACTTACAACCCGGTGCTTTTCAGATGTCTTAGATCAATATTTCTCAAACTTGACAACTTTAAGGCATGTGGACTTCAACTGTGGCACTGAAGGCCCCATGTCTTAAAATTACCAAGTTTGAGAAACACTATGTTAGACTTTAACCACAGCCAGGGGCTGAGACTGGGAGAGGCTATTCCAGCACCGGGGTGGTATTAGCTTTTGAATCTTCCTCTTCTCAAAGAACTTATTGTTTAATTTAATCTTTAAATACTGTTCCTGTTTATTAAAAGCACGTTCATTTTCAAAGCATTCATCATCTTTAGAAACAGGTAGATAAGGCTACTCTTAGACATTAAGCATCATGACTCTGTGGCCAGCAAGAAATATTATTAGTTGTTAGTAAAAAATTCCCTAGGAAATACAGGAATTTCATGTAGGTATTGATGCATAAAATTGAATGCATTAATCATGCTAATCAAAATACGCATCACAACATGCAAAGAAAGATTTGGACGTTCTATACATCTACATTTCATGGGAAGCTGCTCTCAAGTGTTACGTTTAACATTACTAACATTATAATTGGATTCACAACTCTTCTACACAATTCATGTAAGAGATGCCAAGGAAATATTTTCCCATTAAAGGAGTCATATACAAAAATGGCCAACATTATTTATTTTGAATGAAACTGAACATTACTACCTGACTCAACGTGTTCTTGTTCTTCTTCTGGTAAGAAATGTACATTGTTTACATGCTTTGGAGCATCATCTCCATTATCTTCATAGATATTTGACCATTTGATTGCCATATCACGTTCTGGAGGAGGTGGCGGCTTTTTTTCTTTGACAGCGTAAATCTCCGGGGGAGGCACAGCATTTGTGGTCCATGCCTTGAATTCCTTAGGAGGCTGTTGAAAGAAATATGAAAAGACCAGTAAAGGAGATTTGAAAAATATGACTATAACAGGTACAAATTACAGGTAGTCCTCGACTTCCAAGGGTTCATTTAGTGACCGTTCAAAGTTACAAGAGCACTGGAAAAAGCGACTTATGATTGTTTTCACACTTACAATCATTGCAGCATCCCCATAGCCGCGTGGTCAAAATTCAGACGATTGGCAATTGGTTCGTATTTATGATGGCTGCAGGATAACGGAATCACCTTTTGCGACCATCTGACAAGCAGTCAATGGGAAAACCAGATTCACTTAACAACCATGTTACTAACTTAACAACTGCAGTGATTCACTTAACAACAGTCTCAAGGAATGTCGTAAAATGGGGGGGGAAATGCACTTAACAATTGTCTCGCATAGCAACAGAAATTTGGGCTCAATTGTAGTCGTAAGTCGAGGTCTACATGTACTCTTACATCTGAAAATCTAGCCAAGTTGTAATAAACATTTAACACTGATGCTACTGCTGGTTAGGAACACAAATAGCTTAAACAAACTGTTCACTGTAAGAAAAGTACTAACTGTTAGAAAAAGCAAAAATAATAATATTAATGTAAAAATATAATACTAAATTCTGATCTAACTAAGCTCACCAGAATGAAAGGATGATGGTACCAAGCTTTCTTTTCTAGAAACCTGGCCTTATCACATTCTTGAGAACAGTGGTTTGATATTTGACCATCTTTTTTCCTGGGTGTACCCCATTTGATAGCCATCCTCCATACCTAGTGTTTGAGAGAGAGATGGCACAAAAAACATAGTAATGTGCTCATTTTCTAACAATTAGAGTGTCGCGTCAAGATACAAAAAAGTGGAAATAATTTCTTTACTGCCTTATCCTGGTTATGTCACATGGAGTTTGGCAAATGTAGTATTTAGGCCTTCCTTTCCCCAGGGTTGTAAATCACTCTCAAAAACTGTTAAGCAAAATCAAACTTTATTTTAAAGAAGATAAAAAAAAATTAAAAGCCCGTGCATTTTAAATATTAAAATGGCCTGGACCAGAGATGACTAAACTTTTTGGTTCATTTACTCCTTCATGAAGTTTCAAATTGTTCACCAACTCCCACATATTATATGAAAATAACACAATAAATATTATTGTAACTAATAATACTATGAATAACAATAACAACCACCACCCTTAGAGGTTGATATTGATCACTTTAGATCAACATGTTAATGTTGACAGCTAAAAATAAGAGAGGATTCTTTCAAAGTAGAGAGTTCAATATCTCACGGGTCCCAAGAAGAAGAAAATACTGAAGACTTTAGTGTGCCCAACTAAGGGAAGGGGTGAAGGAACCTAGCTCTGTGTATGATCAAGAGCCATGTCTCAGGAGGGATGTTTACTGTGACTGAGCTTGCGCCTTTGGTTGAAAAATGGGTGGCTCTATAAATGCTTTAAAGAAATAAAATGAAATAAAATAATCTGGCAAGCAGAGAATGTTCACCTCACACCCTATAAGACTACAAAGTTTCATATCCCATATCCCACACAAAGTAATAATACTGAATGGAAGAGTCATTCCAAATTATTTCACACTTTGAGTATTAAAAAATGGGTACCACGGGGACCATTTTTTTAGTGTGAGCCGGGCCTTCAAGAGAGAGCCAGTTTGGTGTAGTATTTGAGGCATCAGGCTACGAGCGGGAGATCTTGAGTTCTAGTCCCGCTTTACGCACAAAAACCACCATGTGTTTCATTTAGGCGTGAAACGGGGATGCACGAAAACCTATCCCCTATTTACAGGGCTTTTCAACCAGTGGTACGGGTACCACCTGTGGTACATTGGCACCTGGCAGGTGGTACGCGACCATCCTAGAAAAGTGGTAGCGGGGGAGTGGAATGAGCTGAACCAGTGGCAGCACCGCACAAGCCTGAGCAAGAGATGGCTGGAGCTGCAGGGCTGTCAGGGCTCAGCGGAAGCACCAGGATCAGTGCCACTTTCCAGCTAATCGGCGCTTCTTCGGGGCTGTCAGGGCTCAGTGGAAGCACCAGAATCAGCGCCAGGCTCCAGCTGGAGCTCGGGGCTGATCCTGGCACTTCTGCTGAGCCCAGAAGCGCCGATCAGCTGGAATGTTGCAGCATCTCCAGGGTCTTGTGATTTACATTCAGATTCTTGGCAACTGATTCATATTTATGACAGTCACAGTGTCCCAGGGTCATGTGAAGTGACCAAAACCTGCTGCAACCACCCAGCAGATGGGTGGAATAAAAACCAAACACCCCCCCATCCCACCCCCGCTGCCAATTCCCAACAGAAATGCTCACAACAATGAAAACCTCGAACAGGAGGAAGAGCGCCACTGGGTGGGCAGGCAGGTGTCTTGCTCGGCTGTGGCTTGGGGGGCACTTTTTTCAGTGCCATTGTAACTTCGAACAGTCATTAAGCGAACTGTTGTAAGTCGAGGACTACCTGTACTTTATCACTTTTTTCTTTTTTGGGTCAAGTTTTTGACACCTTGCTAGGCGACTGGTGGTACTCGGATATTGCCATATCCTAAAAATGGTACAATGGGTGAAAAGGTTGAAAAGCCCTGCCCTATTACACAGTTAACCTAACCAAGTCAAACCCTTTGGTGTTTCTGCTGCAACTTGCTAGAAGGGGCACCCCTCTCGATCCTGCCTAATCCTAGGATTATCCTTAAACCATAGGGGAGCCAGGCGCCTTTCCTGCCAGGAGAAATACACCCAGAAGAATAGAAGAACCTTTGCTAACCTCTTCGGGAGCTCGCACGACGCGACTCTCCCAATCGATCTCCTTATGCAGCGGATTATAGAGGAAAGCCGGTCGATTCACGCTGCGGAAGAGCTCGTCGGGCCCAGGCAAGCGCGATTTCCTTTCGGGGATGCCGTTCTGGGGCTGCTGTGAAGACGCCTTGGCCCCTCGGCCCGAGCCTTCCTCGTCCTCGGTATCCGAGCCGGCACTCGAGCTGTTGTCGCTACCGTACGCCGCGAAGAAGCCTAGCGGGTCCTTCCCCTCCGCTGCTGCCATGGCAGGGACTTGTGCAACCCGAACACCAGTTCTCGGGAGCCGGCGCATGCAAAGCGAAAGTTCCGAGCTCGTGGCGTATGCTGAAAGCCTCTCTGGTTCCTTTCTGCCTGTGTTACCTGCCCAGGGGTCCCCTCGGTCGGATTCGTGCCTCCGCTCGGAAGAATTCCCTTCTTCTCGGCCATGGGTTTAGCACGGGCTTCGTTTGATTACACTCTTGAGTTGCAGTAGCTCTTTCTAATCCATTTATGTTTTAATGTTAAAGAGATAATAAAGAACATTCATCTATCCCCTTTCCGAACCTTCCGTTTGATAATTCCGAAGGTGAGTTTTATCAATTCTAAACGTGGTGCATCAAAACAGGGCTTGCCGTATATCGGCGGCCGAGATCCGGATGAGTACCAAACGAAAACAGATTTAAAATTCTCCACCACTCCTTGTGGGTGTCCCTATTTTTGCAGTCCAGATGACAGTCTAAATTAAAAAGTATGCGGTCAGTTATATTTTTTTATGCGTATCTGCAATTAAAAGTGGAATTAAAAGTTCTTGCTGTGTCGTCAGTCATTCGTTTGAGTAGAACTGAAAAAATCCCCTTCACTCCTTTACAATATTTACCAGTTCGATCCTTCCGTGTATGTTTACTCAGAAGTTGTGTTGTGATTAAAGTAGGAAGCGCTCAAACATAGCTGCTTTGCATGGTTAAGATAAAATACAGAGCACAGAAATATACAGTGTTCGAGCTCTATAACCAGATTAGAAGGCAGAACACAAAACTAATACTTTCCAAGACTATCTATACAATTACAATATAATACTGGTTTAGTCACTCTTACTGGGAAGCCTATGAACAAATACAAAATAATGTGGAAGCAGCAGGGGATGATAAATAATTTATTATCATGGAGGATAAAATTGGATAGCAAGCAATAAGAAATGAAAGCATATCCACACATTTAGGATGTGGTGCTGAATTTATTGCACTATCCAGAACAAGCAAGCAATTATCATTTGCCATTTTATGTGGATACAGCAATAAGAGAAACTTCAGAAGGTTTCAGAAAAAGTATAGAACAAACTATTTTTATCTTGTTGCTTGTTATGCCTGCTTAAATTCCATCAGGTCAGTTACCAATTCTTAGTGACAATTCACACTGTGACAGTGGCATAGCCAATGAGGTTTATTCAAGGCAAATCCTGTTGAACATCTTCCCCAAAACTTGCCTTAGCAACCACATAGGTTGATTTTCTTTAGGATGATTGCCTCCAAGCTGGTTCTTCAGATTTCCCACCAGTGAACCCATTGCTGCTGTAATTGAATTTGTCCACCTTGCTGCTGATTGCCTTCTTCTCTTTGCTTCCATCTTTCCCAGCACAATAAAATTCTCTAGAGCACTAGGTCTTTGTCCAAAGTGAGCCTGCTCTTTTGTTTCATACAGAGCAAGTGAAATAAGTCAAAACACATAGACTTGAGTAAAGCATACACAGTTAAAAAAGTAATAAGCAACAAGATGTTAGATGATATTAAAACATTACCACTGTAGCTGGTCAGTCCAGATTGGAATGAGTTTAAGTCCATTGAACAGAAGCTTGTGGCATATATAGACTTTTCTGTGAAAAACATCTGCTGGTAAAAACTAACAACTTGGTCCCCTGCACCTAGCAAGGAATGGGTGCAGGGATGTAGATTGCCAGTCCTGATATAGTGGGCACTGCAATAGGACACGGGCTATTGTTTTGCTTCTTGCATCCAGGCATATGTAGTAATGCTCTGTCGACCCATCCCCTCAGCAGATTCATGAGTAGAAGATGGCTAGTTAAAAGAAACACTTTCTTAAAGAAAGTATAGTTAAGATAATTTAGGATAAGGAAGTATACTATAAATCAGGGATCCCCATCCCACAGGTCACAGACTGATACCAGGCTGCACAAGCCGGTAAGTGAGCAAAGATTCATCTGTGCATGCAAGGGACCTAAGTTGCAGGTGAAACCATCCTGCCCCCAGTCCATGGAAGACAATTTTTCTTCCAAAATTGGTCTGTGGTGCCAAAACGATTGGGGACCGCTGCAATATCTTCTAAAAAAATAATCCATTTCTTTTACACTACTTTATCAGTATGCCCTTTTCTTAATAGTATTACCATTTCACTTTAGATCTGTTGCTTTTTTCCCCAATAGTCTCCCCCTGTCAATTTGGCTTTGCTGAAGAAGAACACAGGCTACACAAACCCCTGTAAAAAAAAAGGAAAAAATGCAGACTAGCATTTATTATAGAAGGCTTATAATCACTAGCATTTATTATAGAAGGCTTACAAATTGGCTGTTATCTCATAGCCTCTTTTCTATTTACTACCTTAGTCATCACATAATGAAAACTTTGATATTTTCTAATATATTTTTTATCAGAAACTAAGTACACTGAAGATAAACTGGCAGGTATTTCCCACACTATTTCCTATTTATAGGAATTATTATGACTAATAGGATAAATCAAGGGTGCAAAATTTCACATCAACATCTATTTTACAATAAATTCAACAAATATTTGAAAAACTGGCCTTTATTACTAATACTCTACCTTATTAGAGTCTTAAATAAATTTTTACTCTTACCTGATGTTTGTGAATATTCAAGGCATTTTTAAAATGAAAATGGATATCAGAAAATAATCATGGGAACTATTAAATTAAAATCAAGACATCCATTTTGTTAATTCAGTTTTTCTAAGGGGAGGGTTTCTTCTTTAGAAAACTGAAATATGCCTGTTGTTTTAAATTGTATCACATAGCTGAGTATCCTGCTTCCAACAAATAGCCAACAAGATATTTTTCAAGAATCTGATAAATGTAACAGAAAGCAACTCAAGGAGAGGGGCATGTTCCTAACATATAATGAGTACACTGTATCTGACATAGAATTTATTTGTAAATGAGTCAGATAGGGGTTTCCTGGACCGGAGATCATTGGGTTTCAAATTACAAGATGACCTGCAACATAGGACCTGTTCTGAATATATTTATAAAGTACTTCTTTAAAAAATGCTTCCTAATAGTGTAAGTACATAACTATTGGTGAAGAGAAGCCAAGATTAGGACATGAAATACACCGAGAAAACTATTTTTAAAAAATCAATTACGTTTATTATACAAATGCTTCATGGATTGCCCACTTGTAAATATTTGTCAGCATTAAACGGTAAGCACATACTTCCAAATATTTTTTCAATACATTGCTTTATATAAAGTATATATTTTTAAAATGTGATTTAAGAATATAATGATTTCCAAAGATATTTAATACAGCAGTATGTTATCTTTCGTTATGTACCTATAATAATTCACACAGGTTTTGGCATACATGAAATGAAGCACAATATAGAGAGAAAAATCCCTGATCTAATTTCAATACTAAAGAACTAGGAATTTTTTTAAAGAAAATATGACAAAGAAAAAGGACAATCAGTCCATAAGTATGTAAATTCAGTCTTTTCTTATAAATTTGGCAACATCTGCAACTGGTAGTCAAACAAGGAAGCTCATGCTCTGTAAAACAACATCATGTAAGTTTGAGCTGAGGTAGCACTTGAATTAAAAAACTGTTAACAGGAGACTCAAAAAATCAATTAGATTAGATTGAGGTTTGACACAAATCTGTGTCCTGAAACATGGGCAGTGCACTGTGTAACACAACCTAGCACCAATTTGAACTCATATATTTCGGCCCTGCACAGCTAGTAAGGTGACCCCATAAGGTCATAAACTTTTAACATTATGTGATTTATATACGTTAAGTATATATTTTATATGTGCTTCAAGACAATTCCTCTTCATTCAATGCGGCCCAGGCAAGCCAAAAGGCTTGTCACTCATGATATAGTCTTAAAATACTGGATTGTAATCTTATGCATGTCTATGTGGGAACAAGTTTTACAGAACTCAGTGATATATTTTTTCTAAGTAACATGTACAACACAAAGTTACTTATTTAATTAAATTAGATAACTAGCTAAAGTTTCATCCAAAATGTTGTAGAACATTTTTTAATAAAACTTTTGCTGTCCCAGAAGCCCCACAGAAGTCGTTTTGCTTTTGGCTGGTAAAATTTGAATTTAATATAAAGTACTGTTTCCTACTGGCCAAGAAATAAAAATGGCAAAAGATAAAAATGAAGAGAAAGAAATGCTTTTATGCTACCTAGAAAATATGCTTTTTAAGTGAATCTCTTCTCTACAGTGTTGCACCTCATTCAAGCCATGAGAAAAAAAAATGAGATATGATTTTATACTCCCTGAGATGGCATAGTAGATATTATGTATCCAACACAACATTGCTTCACCTTAAGAAATAAGCATGGAAATTGAGAAGTTTCATTTTAGAAATATTCTCAAGATTGTAAAAGTGCAAACTTAAATATATCCACCCGAAGTAAGCTCCACTGAGCTCAACGAAACTTACTGTCAAGTAATCATGCTACGGATATTTTAACCTCCAATTGTTAAAGAACAGTATACATTTAATGCCTAACATCTTATAAACTCCCTAATTTCAAAAGGGATTTCTTAATTGCTATAGTTTTTAAAAAGTGAACTTGGGGAATTCAATCATTCAGAATAAAAGATAGCCCTTGCTTAACAGCGGTAATTAGGACTTTCCATCAAGTGATGCAATTGTAAAGTTCATCACATAACTACACTGCTTAGTTATTGGCAGTTCCAGAAGTCCCTAGTTACATTGTTAAACAAGGACTGCACAGGACATTAAGCATGGACATCAAATTATTGCAATTCCCAACTTCCTGCCAATTTCCTCAAATTTGCTTGTGAGAAGCAGGCAAGAAGGTAGCAAATTGGGATCACGTGAATGTGGGATACAGTGATGATTGGAAATCAAAGCCAGTTCCCGAGTGCCTGGATTGCGTTCAGGTAACTGCTGGAGTGCTGCAAAACAGCCAGAATTTCAAGGATTGGTTGTTAAGAACCACTCATTTAGCAGGTTAGTGAACAAGCAGCACCTGTATGAGACCCATCAATCTTCATAGATATAGTCATAATAATTATGTAATTATGTAATTCAGAAGGTATTTTTCCCTCTTTGCTAAGGTTTTCATTACTTCCTGATCATTCTGTTCAAACAGACTGCAATATTTTCTGAATATAAGTGGAATTGCTCAGTTGAAAACTTTATTTCAATGTAATAACTGTAAGAGAAATAACCCCAAGATTCAACCTGGAGTTTCCCCTATGATAAATAATTGTCCTTGTGATTGTGATTCGCATAATTAGATAAATCTTTTAGTATTGTAATCAGGAATCTATGTGACATAATTTCAGCAATTATTTTATCTGCCACTATGAAAGAAGAAAATGAAGTTGTCTGGCATTATGAACTGAATGAATATAGTAAACTTTTACTAAAGTGTAAAAATATGACATCTTTTAAGCATTCCCCTATCACTTTTCAATATAGCAAGAACTGTTTTAAATGCCACTATTTACTTATCTATAAATCCCATTGCAATCAGTGGGGCTTACTTCCGAATATCTATGTACAGGATTGTATTATAATTTGCATAATACAAGCAGCTTCATGATTGGTTAAACATGAATATTTATGAAAAACACTTTCAGTTTTCAAAAGTAATACAACCAAGTACAATAAGAAAATTTAAAAGATAAAACATTTTTTGCAAAATTACGTAAGGCAACATCTAGCATAATATTATCTTTGTAAAGTTATTCAAGAAAAACCACCACTATGGAAAAAGTGAGCGGGATCGTAAAGGTAGAAAGGGAGTGTCACTGGAAGTGGTAGATATTTCCTCTTGCTCACTCTGCAATTCTGTTGGAATAGGAGGTGCTCCAGGATCTCCAGGTCCTGGAAGAGTAGAGAAAACTGAATTTTCCATGCTTCCAACCTCTGTAATAGGCAAATTCATTGAACGAAGAGAAGAGGCAGATACAAAAGCAGCTGTGCTATATTCTTCTGGATGAAGGTAGGTGTTTTCTCTGTCTCTTTGTTTTTCAAAAAAATTAGAGTCATTTGACTGCGATCTAGAGAGATTGTTTACCTCCTCACAAATTGATGCCATGCAGTTGTTACAACGTGTTCCTGTAAAAAATATATTGGATTACTTACAGATATGGTACGTGTAAAAGGTATTTTAATTATTGCTATAACTTGTCTCATTTTGACACATTTTTATCTATTTAATTTCATTGCTTTTTTGAAGTTTCAGATTTATGTGGAATTTTTATCCCAAAATTAACCACCCCCCGTCGCTTGAAAATGAGATGGGTGGCATATAAATTTAATAGATAAATAAATAAAATTCAGCTTAAGAAATAACCTCTATTGTTATTTCTTGAAGAAATGAGATGGTTTGGAAAGAAAAAGTCTGGAAATCCTAGTTATGATCCAGATTGCCTATACAGCCCTGTGGATCAGGTCGCGAAGTATTTATAAAACATTTCTTTGCCACATCAACATTATTAATATGAAATCTTGTCCAAGTGGAAAACTGGCGACCAATGCAGGCATTTTAATTATAGGGTTATATGGCGGCAATTTTGGATGATGCTTAAGGGGAGAACTATATATAGCACAGGAAGCTACCAGTGCATGGGGTATAAAAAAACAAGTTGTTTTTGTCCAAGAACAGCAGTACTGGCATACTAACCAAAGGTTATGTCTTACGTAGTAATGAGCTTTATATTCCTGGCATCTTAGAAACAATTATTTTATAAACTTTTTCTCTGCTGAACAGAGAGCAATTCCATCTATGTCAGGAAAACTATATTTTCAGGGACTTGGAACTACCCATCCTTAAAATTTCCATTTTAATAAAATTCAGATCTATCACTCTCATTCAGTCATGGACATTTCAATGCCTCTACGGCTTCTTTTGGAAAAAAAAAAAAACTCTATTCATGCCATCAACAAAGTGGAGACATTGTGCTCCATATCTCCTGGGGACTGCCCCAATTGACTTAACACTGGAGAGAAAATGGCTCCTTGTGATATTTCTGGGCAAAACTGCCAGAAAATTAAAAGTTAACCCAATGCTACTTGCAACTCTGAATGAACCACAATGCAATGTACAACATTAACTAAGCTAATAGGATTGCACTCTCTTAATGCTATGTTGTTGTGTGGCTCTTATATTTGAATATATGTCATTATTCCTAAATTTCTGCTCCTTCACTGATACAAAGGCAAATTATTTTGATTTACCTTGTGTGCGACCTACAGAATTCATAGCAACAATGTTAAAACTAAATAGGAATAAGCTATGTAACTACATATTTTATAAGCCCTTTTGAAATATACAATATTCAGTCATTAAAACAGTACCTTTAAGACTTTCGAGTTTTTCATTTTTTGCTTTCAAGACAGCATCAGTTATTTTTTCTAACAGGAAGTTTTGTGTTTTTTCACATTTGATAGATTCTATCAATGCATCTAGTCCTTTTGGATGCTCTGCTAAATAATCCAGCAGTTTCCCAGCCTTTTTCCTACTTGAGGTTCGACAAGAAATTTCCTCAGTATCATCTCTACTCAGTATTTTCTTTGAACGTAGGTAGTCAAAGTGTCTTTCTGCAATTATTTTGTCACACAGATAGCGGCGTAATCGTTCTAAAACCTAGCATAAAAATAACAGCACATTAATAAAAGATTAACTTTATCAATGTATAAATTATTCTTTGTATTACTATGATGGAGCAATGAATCATAAATAATCCCTGAAAAATAAGTTTTAGTTAGAATTTGCAGTACTGCATCTTATCAAGAATGAGTCAGTTATGTCTTAGATTCAAATTTCAACTCTGCCATGAGATAATGTTTCATGGTACTAATCTAAGGATTACTGAACTAGCAATCAAATATCACAAAATACTAAGCATTAGGAATAAGTATTTAACACTAAAAGGAAATGAATGGAAGTTTACAATTTTAGGTAAAGACTTCTAAAATACTTTATATTATACTATACTTTCTATATATTACTAAAACTGTCATTTCATTTAACTAGGTGAAATAGTGCATCCTAGAGCAACGATTTTTGAACTAAGGTTGATCAAATGGATTAACTTACAGAATACATCCAAAATCTGGGACATACAACTCTCATGGAACTGAAATTTGGCAAATTTTGTAAAACATATATGACATATGACATTTATGACAAAAATTATAAAACAATTTATGATACAAATATTTCCTGTGCTAATGTTTGACTCTGCTATATAGTTCAACATGAGCTATTTTCAAGGCAGATACATTTCTGAATGTATTCCAACTTTCCAATTCCTTTGCCAAACTGAAGCCAGTTTGTTTCACTGTGTTGGGTCCATACCAAGGCTTCCTGACCCGCATATAGATTTTGCATGAGGACATGTTCTGGGATACTTATTTTTTTCTAGGCACATTCTACAGATTGATGCAATTAATATGATCAAAGGCCTTTCTATAAACAATAAAGTACATGCTGACTTATGTTTTGCATTTATTGGCTTTCTCAGTTTTCTAGTGTGCATCAGTGACAATGTCTCATGTTTCTTGGCCTTTTTTAAAACCCACTTGAACATCTGGCATCTCCCTCCTACATAGGATTCTAATCTATAGTGGATGATCCTGAGCATTATTTTGCTAGCATGTGAAATTAAGAATATTGTGTGATAGTTTGCATACGTCAAATCTTGTTTTTCCCCCCAGTTAAATCTCCTTCATTCTCCAGATTTGCTAGTGTAGTTTGGTTAGAACCTTTACTGATTCTTCTTCTGTTACATTTATTAATCAAATTTATACTATCCATTTCACTATCTAAATGACTCTGGGTAGTTTACAAATAACGTTGCTTGCTGTATTTCCATGGGGATTCTATCAGTTCCTGTACTCTTCTGACTTGGTAATATTAGAACAGTGCTCTAACTTCATCTTCTAATATTAGATATTCTTGTAAGTAAGTAATATCTTCCAAGGTAACTTGCATGTTGGCTTCTCTACTGTACAATATTTCAGTATACTCTCTCCATTTTTGTTTGATCTTCTTTGTATTAATAACAAGCAAATTGAACGGGAAGTCTTAATATTTAGGAAGTCACAAGTCCCAGGGAGCTGGCAAGCAAGCCAGCAAGCAGGTAAGTAGCTGCTGCTGGATGAGGGTGAGTGAGGAGTGGCCGGTATGCATACAGCAGAGCCAGAATTGGGTGATTGCTGCCATGTGGAGGAGTGTGCAAGAAGATGTAAGTGGGCAGAGTGGTGTGGTGCGAGCTTGGCAGGGATGAGAGGGGCTGCTGCCAGATAGCAAGGGAGGGTGGGTGGGTGGCCACTGAGGCAGAGCACAAGCGATTGTTGCCAGATGTGTGAAGCTGTCAAGAGTCGGCCCAAGTGCACTGAAGGTGGCTGTCAAGTATGGGAAGTTACAATGGAGTTAAATTATTTAATGTTCTTATATGTTTATTTAAAATTTAATATATTATTCTCTGACTACTATTCCAATATAAAAAAAATAAATACAATCTAAAAGATCACAAGAGAAGTTGACTTATCTTGAACAAAAAGTGAATATTCTATATATTGTAGATCTATTCTTTATAGCTAGAAAAATGGGAGAAAGGCAAAACCAACTTCTACTGACTCATTCATATGCAACATTCAGATATTAGCAAGGGGAATTCCTATAAACACTCCAGATAACCCACTATACAAAAAAGTAGAATTTGGTGAAGACTTTTATCCATTAGGGAAACCAAAGGAGCCTGGAAGAATAAAGAGAATGAAAGGAACATGGAAAGCAAATATAATATGGTGTAGCAGTTATGATATGAAATAAAGACTGTGGAGACCAAGAGTCAAATCCATCCTTTGTCACCGAAGTTTCCTGAATGAGTTTGAACTAGTTGTCATCTTTTATCTATTATCTCAGAAGGAGCCAATTATTATATGAAAATCTGAGGAGAAGTGCTATAACCACAACCTGGAACTTCTAGGGCAGAGTTACCCAAACTGTAAGGTGTACCTACCTTTGGGAGGTAAGACAGAATTCAAGAGGGGTGTGAAGAGCCTTAGTTCGACACTGTTACAATAAATCCCCCTTTCCAAAAACACTAGCTTCCAATGAATAACATGGTGATAGAGAAGGCACAATCTTTTTTTTTTTTATTTTGTAATTAAAAACAAAGTTCCATTGCATTGTTTTCTTTGTCTATTTTGGTGGGCTTGGATTTTTATGAGAGGCACATACATTAAGATTACACTACAAGGAGCTGTGACGGCTAACGATTTAGGATCCCTTGGAAACAGAGTAGATCCAGTAACTTTTGAATGGCCTCTTCGATTGTTATTTGACGCATTTAATTAATATTGCTGAGAATTCAAATTGGAGGCTTTGGGCAACTACTCTTTGTCCCTTAAGGAGGAAGGGGAAAAAATCAGGAAATAATTTATTTTGTTGCTATTATGTTAGGTAATCTACTATAAATCTACTACAAAAGTAATAAACCACCCAGATGAGGCAGGCGGCAAACAAATCTAGTAAATAACAAATAAAACAGTCAAGAGACCTCTGAATAGATTCCAGTTTGCCTCCTGCTTATAAAACCTATAGACCAGTGTTTCTCAACCTTGACAATTTTAAGGCATGTGGACTTCAACTCCCAGAATTCCACAGCCAGCATTGCTGGCTGTGGAATTCTGGGAGTTGAAGTCCACATGCCTTAAAATTGTCAAGGTTGAGAAACACTGCTATAGACATTTGCCATAAACAAAGATACTTTTTTTCATTTGCTGTTGAATAATTTTAAATTCTCATTTGTCCATTTTAAAACTTCACTGACTAGGAAACATGCTTTGCTAAATAAAGTATATTAATAATGTTGTTGTTGTTGTTGTTGTTGTTGTTATTCCCTCCCCAAATTATAACAAATTTCATCCTTCCGCTGTCAGCAGATGGAGACAAAGCCGGCGATGCTTGAAGCTTTCCAGTCAGCAGAAGGGAGGCCGCTTTAAGGGAGCCCCCACGCAAGGCAGGAATGACGTCACAGCGGCAGGAAAGGCCACACCTGGCGGAATTCCCCCCGCCGGCGACACTCGAAGACCAACGACCAATCCGCCCCGATACGGAAACTTGACGAGGCGACGCCATGGCAACCATTGCGCTTCCACCCACCCCCCCCTTCCGATACCGATGTTTTAAGGACCCCCCTTATCATCACGCAGGGGGGCGCCCCCTTCCTCCCAAACACGAAACTCCACCCCCCCCCGCGCGCCCCAGCCAAGCGCTCGCCGCCGTTACACGCAACCCGGCGCCTCGCTCGCTTACTTCCTTTTTCACCTCCGCCATTTCGTCTTCGGTGAGCGACCGGCCGGCCGCCGTCAGCTCAGCGTCCGCCATGGCGGAAACAGCAGTGCAAAAAAAAAAAAAAAAAAAAAAAAAAAGGCCACGAGGGAGAAGCGACCCTCTCGCGAAGCGAGAAATGCTTGCCTGGAGGTGGACTCCCTCGGGAAGAGCTCCACTTCCTGTGTCTGAGGTGAGCGACGCCACGCCCTTACTGGCAGGCCCACGCGAAGGAGGCGCGCCTCATATCGCGCATGCGCTTCTCTCGGGAAAAGGCTCCCTTATTTAGACGTGGGTTTTGATCTCCGCCCTGGTTTGTCGTTCAGTCCCTACGTTTAGAGTTAGGTTCGTAGTATTTCGGTGCTTAGGGTCAAAGTGGGTCTCTCTGGCGGGTCTCGGAGGCTGAGGACACGGGAGATGATTATCCCCGTTGATAACTTTGGTGCTAGGTGTTATGTTCGCTTTATAATAATGACTTGAATAGGGTGGCTGGCATAGAATTGGTTTTAGTTAACTACGTGTAAATTATTCTTAAAGTAGTAAGATGAGATGAGATAAAATAACCTTCGTTTTTTTTCTGTGAACACACTGACACACATTAAAAAATGAAATTCTGATGCCTGCTCTCAAAAGATGTGTATATATATTTCAAAATTTGGATTGCTAACAAAGAATTAAGGGAGAACTGGAATAGCCATTTCGAACTTTTTAGTTCTTTTCAACCAGACATACTCTTCTGAGATTCGAACCTGGGCTGCACCAGACTCAAGATAAATATATATATATGTATATATGTGTATGTATGTATGTATATGTATGTATATATTTTAAGTGTTTTTTACGATGCACCCTGTCGGCCCAAATATGGGAAGAAATCTTTTGCCTGTATCAGCCCAATTTAGGGCTATCCCCAGGCAGCAGTCGCTACTGCGACAATCATTTTTATGTTAAATTTGGATTGCTCTCCCTATAACTCTTTGTTAGCAATCCAAATTTAACATACACACACACACACACACATATATATATATACATACACATATACACATATATATTAGTAAGGGATCTACAGTAAAGATAATTTTTTCTCTTAAAAAAAAAAAGCTGCTGTGCTTTAGCATCCATGTATGATTGGCTGGGGAATTCTGAGAGTTGAAATCCACAGGACTTAAAATTGCCAAGGTTGAGAAACCCTGAACTAGGTGGATGTGACTTCTAATTTTCTTGGCAACAAGATTTATTTATTCATTTGTTAGATTTATATGGCTGTCAATCAGAGACTCAAGGGAATGTTGCTTTGAAACCTACTAAAATAATCAGAATGCAAACAGTATAAAAAGTAAATAATGCTATGAGGAAGTACATAAAGAAAAATTTTGCTCATCAGTGCTCATTCATCAATATAAGTAAACACTTCAGTTCATGGCTTGTTTGAAAAGTGAAGTGTTATGCCTTTCTACTGCTGAGAAAGTAGTATGAGTCCTAGTGGACCTCTGGGGAAATAATATTCTAAGAATGGCAACAGAAAAGGCACATCTCTTATTAGCATTGTTTAAATAAAGAGACCCTGTCAGATCTTATAGGGTGGGCAGAGACAATTGGAGAAAGGCAGTATTATAAATAATCATGTTGAACTTTCTGAATGGCAACTACCAATCTGAATTATACCTGGATTCTCATTTGTAACAAGTGGACTCTGAGCAGAGATATCGCATGGATGTACTGATGTATACCCATAATTGTTTCCCTGACCACATTCTGGGGCAGCTTGTAAGGTCTTATTATGTTGTTAGTTTCACAAGATGAAAGTGTATTCTCAGTTGCTGTTTTAACAACCCAGTCCTGCTTAGCTTCCACACTAAGATGAGGGTTAGTTGCTACCAGCTGTTAAGGCTTGTTTTGCAAGCCTACAACTGTTTTTAGAAGTGATGTTTTGCAACCTATCAGTGGATGATAAGGTTAGCTCCCAAAAATAATTTAAAGCAGGCACAGGGAAACTGAACTCCCGGGGCCATGCTGGTTGTGAATATTGGCAACCAACTTGTCTTGTGTCATAGGCTCCTGTTTCCAATATAAAGGCTTTTAAATGAAATGTTTATTTTAGTTACAAACCTCACACATATGGGAAATAAGTATAGCCTAAAATGATTGTGGGTTATATATAAATCTTAACATTAAATAGAATAATTCTGTTGAGGATTGCTCTGACATGCTTGAAATAATTAGGTTTTTTGGCATATTAAAAAGGGATGAACAGATAGATGTTCTTGGATTGCGTTTGTCTCCAAGGATTCTAAAAGTTGCCATTTAATTAATTTGTTATTGTTATGTTCTTATTTTTGTTCAGGAGCTCAAAGCAGAATACACAGTGCTCCATCCTCCCATTTTTTTCCCCCACAACAAAAACTCTTTGAGGTATGTTAAAAAAGAATGACTAGCTCAAAGTCAGCCACCTAGCTAGCATCCTTGGTGGAGGATACACTAGAACCTGCATCTTCCTTATGTTCGTTCAGCACCTTGTAGTTGTTAATGTGGCAGAATATTTCTTTAAATACATAGTATTTTGGCAAGCTAGTACTGGGAAATGGTGGTAGTTTGGGCAGGAATAGTGAAAATGAAGGAGTTTTGTCCCTGGTGGAATTTGGGAATGTTAAATTTAATACTGTATGCTCTTTTAGTGAAGAGTGGATGAGCTGTTGGGAGGGAAAAGGACAGGGGAAGAACAGAAGGCATGAAATGGAGGAAAAGGTGTATGGGAATGCCAGTAGGAGTCATTGTATTAGCAGACTTGCCGGGTTAAAGAACATTGGCTATGAGAGAACGAGTGATTTGGGAAAGCTAGTTAAGAGAGCATTAGATGCTTTGGGCAACGTTGTGCTGCAGTAGGATAGTACAGACAGTGGGACTGGGATCACACATTAGGTTTAGTTTTGCCCCTTGAGTGAGGCTGATGACTGGCATAGCTGCCATTTGATTGCTTATGACTTTCCAGGGAAAAAAGGGAGAGCAAGAAGATGGCCGTTCCGAGGTCTTTTTCTGGGGAAAAAGAACTCCATCTAATGAAGAACTGATATTGGAAGCATGGTGGAGAATGCTCCAAGGACTGTTGGCCCGAAGACAATGGGAAGAAAAATTGTGTTTTTCTGAGGAAACAGAAGAGTTGAAATGGAGTTTTGAGAAGAATGAACCTGTTAGTGATAAGGAGAAAGAGTGACATCTTTCTCCAGGTAAAAAGGTGGATCAGCTGAACAGTTCCTGGAGGGAGGGACCAAATAGATACAGATAAGAGTGGGGTTTGGTGGAGCACAGTTGGGGGTTTTGGGGAACATGTCAGGTAATCTGGAAGGAGTTTGAGCCTATTGGTCCCGAGAAAGTAGACAGGATTCTTGTTGCTGTTCTCCCTTTGACAGCATAACACCTGCTTCAAAATGGGTCCAATGAAGCTAGGATTTCAATAAACAATCTTAAGCCACAGATGTTCCAAGAATTCTTTTTGGAATGAGAGGAATCAGTCAGTTCTGGAGGAAACTGATGTTGGCTTGCCTTAGTCCAGTGTTTCTCAACCTTGACAATTTTAAGGCATGTGGACTTCAACTCCCAGAATTCCACAGCCAGCATTGCTGGCTGTGGAATTCTGAGAGTTGAAGTCCACATGCCTTAAAATTGTCAAGGTTGAGAAACACTGTCTTACCTTCTTTAAAATATCATTTTGTATCATTGTAATTATATGTTTCTAATTTGTATCCTTTGCCTTGGAATTCTAATGAAACCAAATTTAATTTTTGTCTTGACTTCATTTACTTTTGGAATTGTGATCCCATATACGTCATTCAAAGCTCAAGTGCTGTTTTGTCCTGAGAAAAATTTATATAAGTTCCTTGCCTTAAAGATTAAGCCTTGCATTGGGGCATAAAATCTAGGGAAATTATGCTAAACTACCTTTCTCTTTAAATCACTGCTAAATCTTGGCTTGCCACTAGATGTCTCTGCAGTTGTGTATATGAAGATTTTTTTCCCCTTCCAGTCCCCTTTTCAAGTTATTCCTACAGTAGTAGGACTGTGAAATTTTCCAGATTAAAATAATGAGCATGGGCACACAAGTGGCAGCTATTAACAGCTTTTTTCAAAAAGTTGCTTTTCCCCTGGGAAACCACATTTGGTTTAAGTGGTTGCCAACAGTGCTATTTGCATACTTAATTCTAATAGCAATGTATTCTTCTAATTCAGGGGTGTCAAACTCGCAACGTCACATGACGTGTCGCGATGTATCGCGACTTTTTTTCCCATTGCTGCCAATGGGGT